AGAACACCCCACACACATCAAACTATCACACTTACCTTTTATATTAAATAAAGAAATAAATTCATATGTAAAGAATATGTGGATAGTTTTGCAAATCATTAATTTTTAAAATATCATATTAACTTTCATTTTGGTTTAAAAGCAGTGTTCAGAAAGAATTTAAGATTTTTTTAAAAAAACTGAGTATGACTCATGTTTGCCTGTTGATGCTACGAGAGTTCAAAAGGATTTTTATATTCAAGATCAAGCCAAAGGTATCTAAAAACTGCTTTTCTTAGGAGGAGTAAGGTGCCTTGTATTGATGGAATTGTTTTGCGTTCTTACCTAGGTGATCGTTTCAGGTCAGTGATCGATGATGCTTGGTGGTTTGGAACAATTGAAAGCCAGGAACCTCTACAGCCTGATTATCCTGATAGCTTATTTCAGTGCTACAATGTCTGGTTAGCAAATTTATCTTCAATCTTTTATTTCAATTGGTTATTTAATTTGAAGTACTGACCGAGCAACTTGCTTTTATTAAATTCAGTCTTGCATCTCACTGTACCAGTTTATTATAATACTCTGTGGTATATAAATAAGTTATGTTACAAACATTATTTAATTACATTGTTGAAGCAATATTAGTAGATAATTTAAATGTGGTTATTTTTAAGCTGGGACAATGGTGATACTGAGAAGATGAGCCCTTGGGACATGGAGCTGATACCAAGTAATGGTATGGCACATTAATAATATAATTTGCTTTAAGAGTGTATTTAAAGAACAAAAAAAAAAATGAATGGTTTTACTGAAATAATCCTGTTTCTCTTGAGGAGTGGAGAGAAGGCCCACAAACCAGTTGCATTTGGAGAACATCCTTAAATCAATCAAACTAAAAGTGGATCAAGATAAAAAAACTGTGAAAAAACATACAGCCATACTTAGACAAACTAAGTATATATTGGAAATAGACAGAAATGTTACAAAAAGTTGTCACAGATGATGTACAGTTAACTTTAACTTTTTGTACAGTTGGGGAGAATTGAAGATAAACCTGTGCCCTATGTCAGCTTTGAGGAAGCTGACTGCTCAAGACCCGTCAGCGTGCCTGCAGGCTTTCAGTGCGTTGAAGATGAGATGCGCCTGTGAGATAGTTTGATAGTAGGATTTGCTCCCTGTCTGGCCCAGCATATGTGGCAGATGGGCATGCTGCAGTGGACAGCATAGCGTGGGCACTGATCGCAGACAAGAACATAGTATTTCCTCTTTCCTCACTTAGGTTTTTTTTAAGATTTCATAAAAGTCTGGTTAAAAAACAAAGTAGAATCAGCATTTTTTCCTTGTCTTTTCTATGGAAAGTTTGATGATATTGTCACTCATAATGAACCACAAATAATTCTTCATTCTTTTAAGTTGTAAATACGTTCTTTTCAACTTTTAATTCCAGTTCAACCATTCTTTCAGTGGGTACCACTTTGTCATAAGTAAAATAAAGAAGTTAGAGTGGTAACGTGACTGAAATAATTGATTAAAATAGGCAGATAACCAAACCTGAACCTTATTTTGTTGCAGTATCCACATATACTGACTTTTGTTGCATCTTCCTTCAAAAAAAAAGAAAAATTGTTGAAGAGTAGCACTTTGCACCGTACTCTGAAAATCTGCTGTTACATTATGAATTGTTAAAGTTGGTAGGTCCTCAAGAATGCTAGGGTGATGGCACTTTTAATTTGCTTGCTCAGGAGCTCTGGTTTTAGCATTTGACCTTGGAAAACTGTGCATGGTGGAACCACTGTCTGGAGAATGTTTTAGTGTCAACATAAAAGTTGTCATCTTAAACTCCATCTGAAAATCATTGACCATTCATTACCAAAATCATTTATTACCAAGAATTTTACATTAAAAAAAACAAAAAACAAACCACAAGCTTTAACTGTGATGAAGGAGTGTCTTAGTTGGTTCTGAAATAAATTCTACGGTTAACTATTCAGAAGAGAATAAATCTTGTTTCATGGAGGACTTGTACACCAAACTGCATTGTAAGGATTTAAATTTAACATAGAACAATACACAGAAAGGATACTGGATGTATCCAAAATGTCTTTGAGCAAATCAAGAATGTTTTGTTTGGTTAGTAAAATGCTGTTATATATGTTTGAATTACAAGTATATGTATTACACAAGATACAAAGATTTATGTTTTATTTAGTTTTCATGTTACGTTTTAGCTGTATTTCCGGAAGAACTGGGAACTAGTGTTCCTTTAACAGATGATGAACGTAGAACGCTGCTCTATAAACCTCTGGATGGAGAGTGGGGTTCCAGGACCCGAGATGAGGAGTGCGACAGAATTATTGCAGGGATAAACCAACTCATGACTCTAGGTAAATCCTGAATAGTATGGGACACGTTTTTGTGTTATGTTTTTCAGACTGTGCTCATGTGTACTTCTGAAACTACAAAAATGAATGTGATGATCAAGAGGTAAAAGGTATATTTTAACCGGAACAAAACTTTTTCACTGTATATTTTTAAATTTTTCTTATAGTGAGTACATAAAAACCCCCTAAATTTTCTCCTGTTCTCAAAGGTAACTGTTGCTTTTTGGTACATAATTTGACATAGGCTAGGAGTTTGGTTTTTACATGCTAAGAATAAGTACATGAGTTTTTTACTTCACCTATCAGAATCTCTTGTTGGGGTTAAAATTTCAAACTTTATGACAAAAAAAAATCAACTGTATTACAGCCAGATAGAGGAGGAAAAAAAATCTTACATACTTGGAGAATGGAGATTTCCCCTGTATTAGCCTTTTCCAGTTCCCATTTTCTCCTCCACGTTGCCTTAGTTGTGCAATATTGAGGAAAAAGGAATTGATTAATTTATGAAAAGCTGCTTGCTCTTTGATTGCAGACCAATTACTCTTTACAGGCAGCTTCTGAAACGGTAATGGTTAAAACGTTTAACAAATCCACTGCAACACTTAGATGATCAAAGATGGGTGTCTGAGATGGAGATCCCTCCGTGAAATACAGGCTGAATCATAAGTCTTTTGTATGTTTTGTGATGAGCAGACTGTGTTGTGTCAGCAGGCTTGGGTTTGAGGCAAACAATGGTCATAAATTAAATATATAAGTTGTCACAGATACTGTTTTTTTTTAACTGTCTTTTTAAAGTATTTGAAGCAAGTACTTGAACTTGAGAACCCTCATGTTTCAAAAAAGCCAGAAAACTCAACTCTCTGAATATTTCTGATACCTAAATGTCCCGTATTATGACTTCTTTGGTGACATACTACATAAGAAGATTCTCTTTGCTTCCAAAAGAAAGGAAATTTCCATACAGTATAGTAATCCAAATTACAAATTACATTAAAAAAAACTTGTAAGGAAATTAAATTTTAGTTGTTTTCTCTGTGTCATCTAAGAGTAATGGGTTTACATTACGTTGTAGGGCGTACTGCTTAGTTTGGATTTAACTATAGCATATGTGGTGCATGTCGGTACAAAGTAGCAGTCGCTAAAACATTCATAAGAGTAAGCGAACAGCTTTTGGAAGAAGAGCCGTCTGTTTAGCAACAACATGTTTTCTGTTTTTAAAGACTTTCAAGAGAGACTTTAAAGGGAATTTTTTTTATGTTTTTGTATTACGGTATTTTCCCTTGAGGTGTAAAATGTTAGAATGATGCATCTAAGCGCTCATGATGCTTCTAAGCGCAGGAGGAAAAGAACAAGTTTGTATAGGTGCACAGACTTCAGTTGCTCAGCAGTCTTCTAGTGTTATGGTGGATTGGTTTTAGGAGGCTTCTTTGCAGTTAGGTAGGGACAGGAGATTGTGTTTCGGGTTTGAGTGTGGGTTTTCCCCATATCTTAATGAGATGGAAACAGTACTGTAACTGGTATGATAAGAATTTAGTGCATTGCTTTGTTTGAAGATGGGAGAGTGGCAATATAAAACCAAATGAAATAAGCCTGTATTGTAAATAACAATACTGAATTGTACGTCTTCATATATGTATAATGTATACATTTAAATCTACTTTCCAAATGTGTGTGTTTTGCATGCAGTTGCCATGTCTCTGGGGAGCATGGTGCTTCATGCACAACAGAATGGGTGGTCGCTGCAGTGACTGTACTTGTAGCATACTCCTTAGCAAGCACTTTTATATGTAGAATATTACCAGTTGTTCAGAATATCTACAGTTGTTATTATTTTGGAGAAAATGCTGTGCTTTTCAGACATGAAGAAGTAGCATATGTTGCGGGGGGGTGAATCTTGAAAGTGCTAAAGGACTTTTGTGGGGTATAACTTTGAGGTTTTTGGGTTTTTTTCATTTTATCTAGATATTGCTTCAGCATTTGTGGCACCTGTGGATCTTCAAGCTTACCCAATGTATTGCACTGTTGTGGCATATCCCACAGACCTCAGCACCATTAAACAAAGACTGGAAAGCAGATTTTACAGGTTGGATCCAAGTCTCAGTTCCTGCTGTGAAATACTGTCAGCCATATTTTTGGTAGCTCTTTGTCTTGTAATACCAAACGAAGAGATGGGTACAATGTGCGATTTCCATTTCTCCCATCTTCTATCCTTCATCTAGGTTTCCATTTTATAAAACTTTAAAAAGGATTGAACATCTCTTCTCCAAAATGTATTTTAGAATTATGTGGCATTCAGATTCCTGCTTATGCAAATGTCTTGTTCTGTGTGAGATTCAAATTGCAGGACCAGAGACTAGGTCAGCAAAATGATTTTTAGTCGAAAGGATTAAGTTTCCACTTTATAATTTAAAAAAAAAAATCCCTTTTTTTAAATAAGAGAAACCTTAGAAATATGTCAAGTGTTTTTGTTCTAATGCACTTAAAAAAAAAAAAGAATCTTGCATTATGACTTAAGATGATACATGGAAAATAGCTTCCAAAATTATTGACCTTGAAATTCTAAATTGCTGGACAGCAACAAAAATAAGTTTTAACTTTTTGAAACTGTTTTGACATTTTGCTAAACTACGAAGCAATAGCTGTATTTTTTTTCTCAGTAAATATTATCTATGGAGGATTATGCTCCTTTAGATTATTTGTATATCCTTTGGTTCTTGGGATATTTCTGGTTTGAAAGTCAGTGCCCCTCTAATACTTGTTTTGAAGAAACATGGATAGTGTTTTGTTTTTGCACAAATTTTGAAGTTAATTTGTAGTACTTTGTGTACTAACTGAAGATTGAACTGTAAATTAAAATAACTTTTTAAGAAATTTAAAAAAAATCGCTAGGTTTTATACCTTATAATGCAATAGTGCACATTTTTTGTTCCATGCTTATTGCATGATATAAGGTAATCCAGCTTTCACTTCTGTAATGTACTGCTTTGCATCAGAAATGGCAAGGACTTTTTGCTGGATTTTTTCTCTTATCAAAAGAGCAAGCAGTTATTTTTGGCAATTGGCATACCTTCTTCAGTAAGTCTGGTTTTATGAGCTTGTAGCATTGCCAACCCTGGTTAGGTAATAAACAACCACCTTGTGTTGTGCTTTCCAGTGGAATTTTTTTTCTTTACCTACTGCAGAAGGGTTTATTCAGATCACTTGTGATTTTGGTAGCTTTTCAGGAGACTTATCCTAACACATTTTTTCTTTTCCAAACCAGGAGTCTTAGAATGCCTGTATGTTCCAAAAAAATGCAAAACACACCAGAAGAAATACAATCTTTTGGAGAAACTACTGGCATTGTATAGAACTAAATGCTCAACCCATAAACATGATAAAATTGCATCTAAATGCTTACGCTATGCTAAATGTGTTTAAGTGATCCCCCAATTCACTCTACAAAACACTTGTGCAGCATTCCTTTTCATCATGTTTTGCTATATAAAAATAGAACATTGTATATACTTGTAACTTCTGTGCTATTGGAGTTTTTGTTTGTAGTAGTATGTATTTTTTTTTTAGATTTGGATTGCATTTTTCCAGTTATTTTTGCTTTTATGCGTATTTTTTCCATAATGGGGCTATTCTATAGTTAGATGATTAAATCAGAACTATGTGAAATTCTGATTGCCAATCTGTCAGAAAAACGTACATTTTTAATAATTTTTTATCACTATTTTTCTAATCCTGAGCTGTGACTGAAGAGTTGATATAGAGTGGTTTATGTGTGTCTTGAAGGAATAGTAAAAGCTGACGCATCACAGCTGAATTTTCCGGAGGAGAGTCAGCTATATGTTCTTAAAGCCATTTGTATAAATTATACCGCAGGATGTAACAGGAGAGCAGGAAGCCTGAGGAAGGTGCCTTCTGCTGGTCACATAGGGCAACATGTTGAAGTGTTCGTGTTTTCTGATGTAGTGTAAAAAAAATGATGAATGGGGTGATACACTGGAAAAAGGATGTGAGCCTTTTTCTCCTGTTTCATATACATTGCTAGAAATTAAGTCTGTCTTTCCCCCCCCCTCCCCTCGTCCCCTTCCACTTTTCCTTTCCTCTTCCTTCCTTTCATATGCAGGCGCCTTTCTTCATTGATGTGGGAAGTCCGGTACATAGAACATAATACTCGCACGTTTAATGAACCCGGAAGTCCTATTGTCAAATCTGCCAAATTTGTCACAGATCTTCTGCTACACTTCATAAAGTGAGTTGCTTAGTAGGTCTTTTGCTATTCCTGTCTCAGCGAGGTATTTAGCCTTTTCAGATATGAATTTTAAAGTGAGGTGGTTCTGCGGCTTGAATAAGCCTGTTGGCTGCTGTTGGGGCAGAAGAGAAGAAAGCTTACCTTGACAAAGAAATACATAAGTTTGCGAAACAAGATGAAGTTCTATAATACGTTGATTGGCATAGATTGGCATTTTGTTTCAAGAGACTTTCTGCTAAATGGTAAAAATGGGTCTGAGTTTCTTCATGGAGTGATAGATAAATTTATAGGTAAGTTAGGAGTTCTAGTTTTGAGTTTGAATGCTGCCTGTTTTAACGTAATTGTGGGCATTTAATTCTGAAGTCTTTACAATTTATAATGTGATTGAAAATGATGTTTGATATGCAAAATAAAAATTGGAGGCTTTCTAGGCGACAGAAATAGTAGTTGTCTTTCAAATGCTCTTTTTTATTGTCGTCTATAGAAAAGCTCAATGACAAGTGTTTAAGATTTCTCGCAGTCAGTTGACATATCTGCAGACCTAAAGTTTGTAAAAAGAGTTTACTGAGGGTGTCCACAGCCCTGATTTGCTTGTACACAGTGAATGCTGCCATTCTCACCTTGTAGAAACAGCAAGATACATTAATTTAACAAAAATCATGACATTTTTAGTGATTTCGTTTCTCTGTGTTAAATTGAGTCTTGTTCTTTTTTATTTTGTGTGTTCTTAAAAGCATTAGCATTGCATGATGTATTTTGAAATCTAAGACTTTGACTCAATACATAAATCTTCAGTGCCTGTGATTTCTGATATTGGCTGGAGAGTGAAAAATACTTAACTGCTTCAGATGTTAAAAGTTTTAATGAAATACACTTTTAGGAACAGATATGTATCTGAAGGACTTCTCTTACTAGTTTTGGTCTTTAACATCTTTGTCCTACATGGTTTGGGGTTTTTTTTCTGATTAATTAAGCAGCTCAGGATTTTTCACTGTGTGTGGTTTTAATTGACTTAGCTAAATTAGTGCAACACATTGATATTCTTATTTAATAATGGCCTATAGCTTGTATCTATTAATATACTTATTTAAGAGAACTAGCATATGAAGTCCAGACTTTTTTGACGGGATTCTAGCTGTAGGGTGGAAGGCCTAGACCGTGGAAGGCAAACCCCATGGTTCTAATGACAGTGAAATGTCTAGATGCCTCTGAGAACCTAAGACTTAGTCTCTAAGTGACCCAAGTCTTTTAAAAAGCAGAAAAGGGTTGGGGAGTGTTGCTTGGTTGTTTCTTTTTGGTTTTTTGGGGGTTTTTTTTCATCTTCTCCCCCAGCTGCTTTAGTGATGATTGCACTAGCCTGTGTCTGTATTAGGGATTACAATTCCAGTGTAGAGTCACTGAGTGTTTACTCCTTTTTTTTCTGGTGGTTTGTATTGCTACACAGTAGAACACCTTGGGGCTTTGTTTTGTGTAGGAGTTTGCTATGTTATACAAGAATCGATGTTTGTTTTGCTGATTTAATTATGCAGGTTTATACAATAATAATAATAATATTAGTCCTAAGCAAATAAACATTAAATTTCAAATGTTTTGCGTCGTGGATGCTAATGTATTAAATTGCGCTTTTGTACACTAAATCCACTGTAGCATTTCTTACAAAGTTAGATGGGCCCTAAAGCCCTTTATGTGGTATAGTATTAGATTTTCTTAATGCTAATAAATTCATGGTAAAGGATGATGATTTTTAATTTTAAAACATGGACACACTTAAGTGATCTATCTTTTACAGAGTGCAGATAATATTTTACAGCTTTTAGAGCAGAAGATTATCTTTTCTTATTACTGCAGTCCTTTTAGTATTCATATAGTACTAAGCACTTTACTGTTTTATTTGGGAATGGCTTCATAAACATTTTCCTTATCTTAGGCAAAATACAGTTGATTCCGTAGGTGAAGATGAAAAATGAACGTTGGTGTGTATTTCTTTTTACACAGAGACCAGAGTTGCTATGACATAATTCCATTATACAATGCAATGAAGAAGAAAGTGTTATCTGACTCTGATGAGGTGAGTGGGTGTGTCTTAGACATTGACATTGATAGACTGGAGGAACAGGACCACTGTCTCTGTCCCTACTGGATACGAAAGTACTGTTTTCAGTAACTTAGGGGGTGGGGTGTACTTTTCTGTCAAGTAAGTGTTTCTTTTTGTCAACTGGAAAACTGGATAAAAATCCAGCCTCCTGTCCTCCTTTAGTGCGTAGAGATTTCCTGGAGCTTTACTGGGGAATTTAGATGCTTCTTAGATTTCTGAGGTTCTCAAAACTGACAGTCATGTGACATGCTTCACAGAAGGACGGGAATAGAACTGTAAAGACTTAAATTATAAGTGAAGTATAAAAGAACTCACCTATTCATATATTCTTATATTTTTTTAACCTTTTTATGCAACTCATTATCTTGCTCAAAGGAAGAAGAGAAAGATACAAATGTGCCAGGAACTTCCACTAGAAAAAGAAAGGTAAATTTTTTTTTTAAATGATTTATAGTGCTATAAATAATTAGAAATGCATTTTTACACAAGGGAATGTGAAACTGAAAATGTTTTTATTATCACGTAATCTCAGCTTTTGGAAAGTTTTGAACTTTTAAGTGACGTGTTGTTCTACTGAGCTGTTCAATATAAAAGCATTTCTGCCTGTGCTGCTGTGTGTTACGAATTCATTAATTAGAATTTATGTCTTGCAGGGCACCTTTTCTATTAGATTTTGTAAAAGCAGCTAATTTATTTAATATGTACCAGACAATATTGTTGTTTCTATGATTCTATGATTCAGGATCATCAGCCAAAGCGGCGGCTGCGTAATAGAGCTCAATCATATGACATTCAGTCATGGAAGAAGCAATGCCAGGAGCTGCTTAATCTCATTTTTCAGTGCGAAGACTCTGAACCATTTAGACAACCAGTGGATCTCCTTGAATATCCAGTGAGTATTTTAGAACAAGAAGGCTGGTTGTAATCCAGTTGTTAGGTGTTTTTTGATGTGTTTGTTTTTCTTCTTACAACTGTGACCATTTTTCCCGCTCTTTTAATTGAAGCTTCAGGCAGCTCTACTGACAGAAATTTTTTTCAGTACTTGGTTGTCACCTTATAATAATGCTTATTGGGTTTTTAAAGTAATGCCAAAAGAAATTGTACTTCTCTGCTCTCTTAAATACTTTAGTTGCAAAATGTTTTATATTCAAGGATGCTTATGTTGTTAAGTAAATGACAGCTTTTGCCATTAAGATACGTCTTTCCTTTTTTGGGTGAAAAATGATTGTATATGAAGTGCATATGTTTGGTTGTTGCATGTGACAAATGTTGTCACAGACGACTTTTTGTTTTCATTTCAGAAGTAAAAAAACTAAAAGTAATTGTCATGTCACAGTCGTCTGGGCTTGATACAGAAGAAGTACCCACTGAAAAACTGTAGTGAACCATTAACTGTAGTAAAAATTACTTTCCCAAATTTCCCTTTCTGCCTGGGTGATTACACTGGAGTTCAGATAGTCAGGAGCAGCCGTTTGTAGCTATAAAATATTTTAACACAAACGTCTTGTTACCTTGGATCTCTTTTAGCCTTTTAGGCTAGTTTTACTTTAAGTAAAAGTTTTTGCATGCTTTCCTTCTAGCATATTTTAAGTTTCTCTTTAAAATACCACTCTAAGATGATTAACTTGGAGGAAAGTAATCATCCAAATTAAAGAAAAGAAATGCTTCTCTTTGAGTAGTCACTAGTAGGTCTGTCTTGACACTTCTGCAGCCATTGGGCACCATGATTTTTGAGGTGACCTAAACTTTATGCTGTGGCCAACTACAAGTGGCCTTTCATGTTTGAGATCCTCAAATGACCTGATAGAAAGCACCTTACTGGGCTTGAGCATGAAACACTGCTGCCTAGTGTCACAAACCTGTTCAACGTTCAGAGGCACTCACACAGGTTCTTTTTGCTGTGGTGGATTAAGTTAGCTTTTCACTTTATCTTGGTATTTAAGGTTTTTATCGTATGGATATTCCTCTGTTTCTTTCATAGCCTGGAAATTCATTGGCTTGAACAGGCTCCTATTTAAGCCTGTGGAGTTTTCATTATCGTAATACTACTTTCCTAAATTGTCAGGTCTTCATTTGGGAAACTGCTCAGGTTTCAGCAGGGATGTGCTAAGCCTCTGATGAGGTTAAAATATTTAAACTTTGTATTTTAAAGCTAATATGTAAATCAGCTCAAACTGGGTACTAAGTATTAAGATTAGTACCAAGTTTGAGCTGTTAAGCCACCTGGAGAGCTTGTGGTCACACTTTCCTGTCACAGTGATCTTCATGACAGTGTGTCAACAATATAACCCTAAGGAACTAGAATTTTTTTTGTAAATCTGTTCACAAAATGAACTAAATCTTGTATCAGTTATCTTCTAACCTGGATCCTGTCAAGTGTGTCTGTGAGCAGTTATGTTGTGTATGAGTAGAAAGGAGCAAAATGTCTTTAGCAGTCTTCTGTACCTATTTAAATAGGACATTTGGTTTAAACAGGTTTGTCAAATGCGTCCTGGTGAAAATGATACATTAAGACTTGAGGAAAAAAAATACAATACATTGCTTTGCTATTTCTTAACAGGATTATAGAGATATTATTGACACTCCTATGGATTTTGCTACTGTTAGAGAAACGCTGGAAGCTGGAAACTATGAGTCACCAATGGAGTTATGTAAAGATGTGAGACTTATTTTCAGCAATTCCAAGGCCTATACACCAAGTAAAAGATCAAGGGTAAGACGTTTGTTTGTTTGAAAGAATACTTAGCTGAAAAATACAGGACAGAAAAAATAGAGAGGTAGTGTAATTGATTACTTTAAAAACAAGTTTAATTATTTCTGATCTTCAGACATGAATGTTTCTGAGAAAGTAGTATAGCTTTGTATTTTAAAGGAAAGGAATTGTTTAAATGCCTAAAGTTCTGATGTTCTGCAAGTGTGTTTCAAAAGTAAATATTTGAAAGCGGCTCTAAAGGGAGAGCTAAATTGAAGGAAAAAGCTGTAGAAACATGATTGTGGGTACAATAGTGGAATTTAGCTGGTATTTTGGTGAAGAAACTAGATTTTCAGAACACACCCCCCCCCACACACACACACACACACACAAACTCCTTCACTTTGGAGATTGCCCCAAACCGAAATACCCAGGTATAGAGTAGAGGATAATTAAATTCTATGCTGTTCCACCAGTATGCAGTGAGATTGTCACAGAGCACTTAGGATTTCTGGGAGACAGAACTGTTTACATAAGGCATGAGCCTACAAAGCCATTCTTACAGAGCTGTTACTGAAATACTGTGCCAGTGACAGAGTTAAAAATATTTTCTATCAGATTGACTTGTAGGTGCAGTATCTATTAGCAATGAAAGTTTTATAAATGTATACTTGCACATGTTTAAGGCTTCTGTGTAGCTTTTCTTCTACTAATATGCTTTAGGTGTTAGACTAGAATTATTAATAGCTTTCATGTTTGGCTGTTCTAAATAGCAAATTAATCAGGACTTTATTGGTTTAAAATGCAGGAACAAATTCCTTAGTAAGTGACTGGCAAGAAGGACTGATCAGTGACTGGTGTCTCTTCAGTCAGTAACAGACAATGTTGCTCACTGTTCTGGCTGCCTAGGAATCCGTCTTTTGTCTTTTACATGCATTGAAGGGCAGGGCTTTTGGGGCAGGTCTGGATTCTTTTGTTTTTTCTTTCTCTTCTTGAGCTCCTCAAATCAAGATGGTTCCGGTGTGGTTTCACAGATTCTTCTGATTCTTTTGTGTTTTTTTCATGTTTCTTCCAAACAAACTGGTATAGTAGTAAACTTGTAGCTCTTTTATTTTACTTAGAAGTAGAAGGGGAAGGTTCTGATATCAAGAATTTTAAAATTCCAAAACCTTTATGCTTTCAGTGCATGCAACACGTAGTTGTTGAATGGTGATGTTTTCACTGTGACTTGTCATTCAGTGATATTTTCAGCATGTTACTTTACGTCACTGATATTTACTTGAATAGTAAACCTAAACCTGTCAACTGCTTCTTTCTTGGCATATTAAACATATATTTTAAATACAGAGTTTTACGTATTTTCTTAGGAAATTTCTTTGGTTGTCCTCTCTGGTAATGCATTCAGAATCTGTCACATTTATTGTTTCGTCTGGCACTCAGTTTATCTGGAGTGTCATTAGGTAGGCAACTGTTTAATATTGTCTTTGTGTTTCATATTCTAAGAAGGTGCTACGTCCGCTGTTAAAATATCTAGACAGTTCACTTCCATGTTTTTATTTCCAGAATTAATAGCATCTGTGCTCACGTAATTAGTCACGATCGAAACTGAGTTTGATTGAGTTGCCCTAAATCATCCAAGGCTAGAGAAAAAAAAAAAAAAGGAAGCAGAAAAAGTGCACCTACATAATTCTAATAAATTTCTTGTACCTGTTGCCCCCAACAGGCAATCATAAGATCAATTCATCCGTAAGAGAAATAGAATGATATAAAGATGCAACTTAATACAGAAGAAAATTAGATTTCTTGACCTTAGGTATGATAGAGTAGAATTCCATTAAGGATCTCTCTTTGTGGTTTCTGCTGAAGCTAGAAAGGGATACATTCTGGAAAGGCAGCTGAAAAGGGACAGTTGGAAAGGTGGCTTTTCTAATTTTTCCTTTTGTGTGTGATCTTCAGTTGTAATACACTTTTCAAAACCATTAAAATAGTTAAAGCAAACCTATGCATGGATTAGTGTAAATTTGTTGAGACAGACTGTAAATTTCCTTAAAACATTTCCATATTAATCCGTTTACTTTTCTAGCTATTGCTCAATGATAAATAAAATGATGCTTTGGAAAAGTCCAAGACTTGCTTGTTTACTGGCTTTTCTTTTTTAGATCTACAGCATGAGTTTGCGCCTTTCTGCTTTCTTTGAAGAACACATAAGTTCTGTTTTATCAGATTATAAATCTGCCCTACGCTTTCATAAAAGAAACACAATAAAGAAACGAAGGAAAAAAAGAAGTAGAAGCAGCTCAGTTTCCAGTAGTGTTGCATCCAGGTACATTAATTCCTTTACAGTGTTCATTAAATGCTATGCAAGTTTGAGATATCTAAACAGTAGAAATGAGTGTGTGTAGTTTTTTTTTCTTAATACTTCCTTTACTATTCCCTATATTGCAGAATGATAGCTTTGACATGCAAGTCCCTATGATGTGGAAGAGTTTTAAACTTTACTTAGAGCTATCCTAGTGTAAGTGTTTAAAATTCAAATAACTGCTAAACATGTACAGTAAAACAGCATCGTTAGGATAGTAGTGGCATCATGCTTTGTCATATAACTATAGCATTTATGGTAAAGATTCACTTTTCCAGAGGCTCACAACTACATGAATTTCCACAGTAAACGTTGTATTTTTAACATACTTCATGCAGAGATGACAGTTTTACTCCCACAATCTCAGACACTAGCATTTAATTGTATATATTCCTCTAAAATAAAAAAGTGGTCATCCGGGATACAAATTGTTACTCCTGTTGCAGCCCTGAAAGGAAGAGGAGATTAATAAAACCTCAAATGAAGGCAGAAACTTCTGCCACCTCTTCATCTTCTGCACCTGCACGGTCAACAGCACTGAGACATGCTTCACCTCAGATGAATGGAAAAGCAGCTGAAACGTCTTCCCTTGTGCGGACTCGAAGCAATAGGGGGATAACAGATGTGGCTGTTACAGAGCAACCATCTACTTCTTCAGGAGCAAAGCCTTTAACAATAAAGCCTTTAATTACAAAGCCTAATACTACTGCAGGGTCAGGAAAGTCAGGCAAGTTGGTTTTTGTGGCGTTTTTTTTGTTGTTTTTTTTTAAGCTGGGACTATTTTTAAACATAAAACTTGCTTTTTGGAATTCTAATGTATTTGTAGTGGTTAAGACTGGTTCTGTTTTCAAGCTGCTGGGCCTTTGAGGTTCTTCAGAGGAAAACTGAACAAGTTAGGCTATGTTGTTTTATCCAGGAAGCTTTCTCCTCTCTAGATCATCGATTCAAATTGTTGTTTTTTTTTGTAGTAGAACATGATTTCCTTTTTAGCCAGATAAGATTGAATGAGGTAAAAGTAATTCTTTTTTCTTTTGATCCTTCTAGTACTGGAGAATTCAACCAAACATTCCAAGAACCAGAATATTGTGTCAATCCCTAGTCAATCTGATTACAGTCATAACACTAGGAACAACTCCACAAGAGAAAATCCTGAGAAGGAGAAGCAAATCAAGCGCAAAGTAAAATCTTCTGCTGTTAATCAACAAGGTATGGAGTTTCTTTGGAATGTGTGTCCATTCCCCCTCCCCAGTTATTGTTGTAGTGGCTGTAGTGTTATACTTTACTTGTGATCATTTTAGGGGTGGGGAAATTACGATTTAGCAGAATAGGAAAGTCTAATGGAACAGCTCAGTCACATTTAGTTTCCTTCTTCATAAATTAGCACAGTTTTTACTACTCTTAACACCATTTCCATGGTGAGATAACTGTGTTGTCTAGCCAGTTTTGATATGTTAACATATCCGTACCTTCATTTAAATTATTATAAGGTCCGTGTTATGAGTTCTCATTCCAAAGCAGACTCCTTACAGGATTGCACTTTAAGCCCCATAGGTTTTACCTAAAAGAACGTACATAGGTTATATTTGGGTCAGTAACGCCGAGTGTGATGACACTCTCTGCAACCACAAGCATGAAGATCAGAGCATCCCAGCAGCAACTTTGTTCTTGCACTTTTTGCAGCAGCAAAATAGAACTATGCAGTGATTAGTGCTTTTGTTTAGTATATTAGGATGGATTGATCGGACCTAGTTTCATGAAATCTTCTGACTGAACTTGCTTGGTCTTTTGATGTCTGGATACCTTAAAACTCAAACCTTCTCTGGAGACTGAAATGAGATCTCCTAGTCATAAAAGCTTTCCTGTTCATGAAAGAGCTTTGGACTGTTTAACCTGCTGTGAAAGCAACTAGATCTACAAGCGTCTTTTCTCTGAAAATGGAGAAAAAGTAGTCTGCAAATTGGTCCCCTCCTAATTAATCTTGTTACTCCTTGTAGTCCCCCTCTCCTCGAGGATTGTCTGTCCTTTCTTACTCTTCCACATTTCTGAAAAAGCAGTTTGTGATTTGATAAGTTAAAAATCATCTGACGGTTCCTTGCAAGCTTTCTCACCAAGGCCTCAGTTGTTACCGTGTTGCATGACTAAATGTGCACCCATTGTACAGCTGGATGCTTGGTCATGTCGGAGGTATCTGAATGTCGTTGACATGATCCTTTCTCTCCTGTGCATCCACACATATGACAGTGGAGGCATGATGGGGCACATTTGAACACAGCAGGAGTTGTGCATGGATGTTCTGTGAAAGGACTGGATTAATTGTCATGCTATGAGTCTGTTACTGGTCACGTTTTAAGCAAGGGCTGTGGTGTCAGAACATCTCCTTATGAAGTCCTGTGACATGCCCCACTGAGGAGTTTGAGTACCACTCACCTAAGGAAAACTCATAGCCCATAAAAGTCTCCCAGAAAATGCATTCTACTGTGTGTCTGTTAATGTGAGAAATCTGCAAATTACATACTCTTTTGTTGTTGTTGTTGTTAATCTCTCACATTTCTAGCCTTTTCCTCAGTTACTGTTGAAGTAACCCT